GAGGCGCATCCCAGACCAATTGTACATGTTTTTTAGTGGAGAGGGAAACCGGAGTACCCGGAGGAAACCTACGCAGACACGGGGAGAACATGCAAACTCCACTCAGAAAGGCCCTGTTCCAACCAGGAACAAAACTTTAATTATTCATTTGGTAAAATGTATTGCTTGCTGTTTGTACTTGCTAATTATGGTTTAATTGTTAAACATTTGATTTGGTTATGTCGTTCATGTAATGTGTTTTCAAACTTAGCTGAGCCATAGCAGCAGTCGACAGCTAGCCTTGTTTTTGCAGTGACAGAAAAAATGCCTCTGCCCATTATGCACTAAAACTGATTTTCAAATGAAACCCATGAGGATGTCTGCAGAAAAGAAGGAAAATATTTAGCTGCAGAAGCAATACACTAAATTTCTCCATTGTGAGATCAATAAAGTTTATCCGATCTTATAGCTCTCCAACTCATACTGCTGCATCTCATGCTGATAAAAACAAAACAAGATTTCCTGAAAAGTCTATTATAAGGGAAACTAAGGCTCAGTTACATCTTGTTTGTGACACATGTGAACAGGAAAGGGAGCACAGCAGAGCCCCACAGAGAGCCACAGAGAGCCGCAGAGAGCCACAGAGAGCCACAGAGAGCTGCAGAGATCCACAGAGAGCCACAGAGAGCCACAGAGCCATAAATATCATTATTAGCTTTTTCTGCTACAATGCCTCCTCCGTTTCTTTATGCAGATGACATTACATTTCCGGAATAATTGCCAGTTGTGTGATTTTCTAATTGCAATCACGTATGCACGCTCTTGGTGCTTATTATCCTTCACTTATATGGAGGCACAAACATATGGCAAGACAATTTCCAATGCATTTTCATCCCTTTTATCAGTAGTTTCCCTCTCCATACTGTGCTTTATGTGGAAACACAGCTTCAGCCTTGCCACAGGGGCTGTTTCAGAACCACGGACAGCTCCCACTCCTGAGCAGACACTGTGCACTGTGAGAAGCTTTCAACTCCTCCAACTACTCCATGACTTCTACCCCACTATGAAACTGTCACCGAGCTCTACAATAAGACTGTAACTGTATGTTTATGTATGCTGATTGTTTTTACTGCACAGGTTCATGTTGTCAAATACTACTACTTTGCTCTGATGCTGCTGCATACCAAACCACTGCAGCATTGTGATTATGCATGTAGAATAAACTGTGTCAAAATGAGTAAATGAATGGAGATGAATGCATATATGTAAAACACCAAGACAGAAATATAGACACTTGGTTGATAATATGTCTGCCAGTCTCTCGGCACATTTAGCACCATTTTGACGCTGTTAAAAAAGTATGGTTTCACTCAGCAGATGAAAACACTCACTTCACTATATTTTACAAGAACTCTGTACTTGACTATAACACGGCTTTTACTTCCAGTGTGTACATGTTTTATATATTTAATGAATGACGTTTGCCCTGTGTGTCCTGTATGAAATATTAATTTAAGGACTTTGCACGGTCTGTGTCCTTCCCCGTGCTGGGTCACAGTTGTTGGGATGCTGTTTCTTGTTGTCAGGTTATCCGGTGCCTTGCCATGGGGGGGGTTGCATGGCATTCCCTTCCCTTCACCCTTGTCCTTGAGTATAAGCATGCTTTGTTTTCTGTTGTCTCTGTGTTATTTGTTTTATTTTCATATTATTGAGCCACACCTACATTTTCATGACAACCGCAGACGAGGGCATTATAGTAAACTGGGATTGTGTTCTCAGTTGATCAACCCGGTTAGTTATTGAATAAATACACACAACTACATACTCAAAAACATATCTGTCAGAAAAACATTCTTTTAAAGGTTAGAAACAACCGCAGTAAATACTCAGTTGTTTGTTTTCACTCAGTATGTTCACAGGCAGTTTTCACACATGGAATGCATCGGTTTTTAATAATAGTAATGCATCGGTTTTATATAGCGCTTTTTTGGACACTCAAAGACGAATGACATGTCATTATTCATTCACTCCATACACGGTGGTGATAAACTACTACTGTAGCCACAGCTGCCCTGGGGCACACTGACAGAAGCGAGGCAACCAGTATGTGCCATCGGCCCCTCCGACCACCACCAACCATTCACGCACACACCAGACTCATTCTAGCAATGGGGGTAAAGTGGTCACTTTGTCACTGCTCTGGCTTTGGTAACGGCCTTTTCTCTCTCTGCCTTCCATAACATCGCAGGTATTTGACTGAACACAGCTTGGGTATTGGCACAGTGGAGCGTTTCATTCAGTTGACCTGTGTCATTTAACATCAAATTGTATAAGGGAAGAAGATCAGTAATTCTGTTTATGCTTTTTTCTTATAACACTTTCCCACAATTTGTTAGTACTGGTTTGACTGCAGGACTTGTGGACAGCCCTTTGTTTGCTGCACTTTCAGAACCATGGACAGCGCCCACACTACCTCTTGTTATTTGACGTGAGAAATACATACTTTTTTTAGTTCCACTCACAACCATTAGTAAATAAAAGGGAAAAAAGCCTTTTAGGTTATCAGACTTTAGATGGATAGACTGATGGACTGCTGCTGCTGTTATCCAAATGAAGTTGAAACACGTCATAACCAGCTGACTGATGCATTCTATTGCGGTGTCCGTGTACACTACACTTGATTCAGGACAACTTTGTCAAAGTAATGCCGTGATGAGTGATTGATGGTTATAAAGGCTACCTCTGCAATGGGCAGTTATGTCTTGAGCTTTCATTCCCTTGAAAAAGTTCTTTGGATTAAGGACAAAACATCAGGAAAACCTGCTCAGAAGTACAGATGATGGGAGAAAAACCTTTCTTTGTTTTGACTCATGTCTGTACGACTGAGGGCTTTGACCAATTTACTCTAGAGTAACATGTTTTTGTACTTGTTCTTAATCCACTTTCTGACACAGTGAAAGTTAGCTGCTCCCACATGCTTGTCATGCATTTACAGCAGAGCCTCCATCCTGTTCTCTCATCAATCTCACTGTCTCTCCATCCTCCTCCTGCAGAAGTGCCCTTGAGACGCAGTGACAGCAGCCATGTGCATGCAAACACACACACACACACGCACATTGACAGTACCCTTCATTTTTATCACTATAGTCGGCTTTATTTACACTTTGAATAGTTTGTTTTTCTTCTAAATAGTGAGCAAATCTGACATCAAACATGCCTAACATCCCAAGATTATGTACAAGAAAAAAGTTATGACTTTTTACAAAAGTAAATAATGATTTGTTTAATTTCATTGGAATAGACTATATTTACATATTCATTAAGCAAAATATTGAGCTACAGTCCCTTGACCTTCTGTTGTAGGATAAATTACTGGAATTTCAAAGAAGCAAACAGCAGATTTTTAATCAACAATGTTCACTGTGAGCATTAAGACCACAGGGCTTATGACTCACTACTTTAATATTCTTTCATTATTGTGTATTACAGATTTATCTACTGATGTAGATAAGTAAGTAAGTAAGTAATGTTTATTTATATACCGCCTTTCACAGACCAGAGTCACAAAGCGGTTTACAATTGTTGTTTTTGGGCATTTGTCCTCTCATTCCCCACACAGAGATGGGAGCGGGGTAGATGTGCTAATATGGGATATATTTCCCGCACTATGGTATACAGTATTTTATGCTTTTATACAGTATTTTAAATACGATTTTATTTAGTTTTATTTTCTGAAGTGTTTTATTTTCTCTCGCTGCTACTGTGTGTACTACAAGTCACGCTGCTTCCATTGACGGAAGTGAGCGAGAGAGAAGTCTCCGGAGAGAAGTTAGTGCGCGGACGTAGCGCTCCTCAGATTACTACGCCTCACAATATAGTACCCGTTTTATCCGCTGAGAAAATCGACTGTTACATTTCTGTGTTACTATACTTTGCAGTGTAACACGTCATGTAACTATATACATTTAATAGGGAACACTTGGAAGAGTTTGGTAGCTTCTAGCGGGAGCTACCTTTTGGTCCTACACAGTATACAGAGGAGGCTGCGTTTGTGCTCCCGTTTTTGCTCCGTTTGCATGACAGAGCGCACGGACTAAGACCAGACAGGTACATATTAACTAGTCTAAGGTAAGGTAAGTACATATGTCAGTATGTAAAAACGGTGAACTATTCCTTTAAGTATTTCTCTGCAACTGCTGAGTCATATGAAAACTCCAACAGTCAGTGTATGAAATACCACAATTGTTGGAAGTACATTTACAATATCAGATCACATGTGTAATCTAATGTAATCTGCTCCTTGAATACACAAAGATCCTGGTTCACCATCTCTCTTTATAATCCCTAATCCAAGGCAGGGCAGATTATAAAGACCTATAGGCTACTACAGCCTTCAGGACTTGGCTGTATGGATCAAGAGGTGAATGACATGTTGATTAATAGTAACATATGTAGCATAACCCGCCGACCAAAGAGTAACTGGTTCAAACACCACTTGAACTCAACATCTCCCTGGGCAACACACATTGCCCATCTTGGTCACAGAGCTGTGACAGCACGGGCTTCCAGGCTAAAATATGTTTTATTAGATGTGACCTGTGTGAATGGATGTATTGTTTAGCCGTAATCATGGCTTGACTCTGCGCCACTCGCACATTCCCGTTCATTTGGCATAAACGCTCAAGTAGTTTCAGAAGCTGTAGTTTCACTATTACCATCCCCGGCTACTTGTCTGTGCTTTTCCTCTCTCGGGTGTCTCCTCCCTCTCCCCTTGCGCGCCCCCTCCCTCACGTTTCTCCCACACGGACGCGCAGACCTCCTCTTCACAGCCACCTCAGCTTTGGGGTTGAACGAGTGACTGCAGACCTAAAGGACAGTGGAATGTAATTATTTTGCGCTGCATAACGCAAACTGGATTCTCGGTGTCTCTGATTTATTCACCATCTGCATTCTGCCTGCATGAAGAACGCGTTTCGCAGAACACTGGAGATAATTTGGGAATATGGAGCCTTGTTCTGGTGATGCCATGTGACAGCTCTGTCCATCATTTAGCTTGTTGTCGCTCCACAAAGTCCGAACTGCCCGTGAGTGCAGGAGGCAGAGCCGCGGGAGGAGAAATCAAAGCTCACAGAAATGGAAGTTTTGCCTGTCGGTTTGGTCTGAGCTGCCGCCGTGAGAGGCTGGTGCAGGAAGCTGCGCCTGTTCCAAACGCAAGGGTCGGGCTGAATATCAGCCCCGGGGCTCCCTGCGCAATCAACTGGTTCACAATAGTTCTTTTGAATACACGCCACATCACCGGAGCCGCCGCTCAACCAGAAGCGTTGGCGGGTTGTTTCTCTGCCCCTCGGTCTGCCATGCTCCTGTTGTAATGTAATTGTTGGAGGAATTTCAACAGGGAACGAGTCTGCGAAATCCCGGGAATTTGTCCTCGTCAGCCACCGCGGAGGCACCGCACAGCATCGCCACAGAGGAGCTCTGGGAATTTCCTTGGCACCTGACGGATGGACTAGGGGAAGGAGCCACGCACGGTCTCAGCCTTCTCTGCTCACAGTGGCCTGTAGTTTCAGTGCTTGATAGGAAATATCTTTGGACAACATGAAAGTTCTGTCGGCATTGCTGCTTGTTGCCGTGTTCTGGAGCCTGGAGTGGAAGTCGGTGCTGTCAGATTCTATCATCCACATCGGTGAGTGAGTGCGTGTTTCTCGTGCTGTGGACCACAGCGGGTCCTGTGTCTGTGAAGCACACTTGCGCTCACAGATGTGCTGTGTCCAGTTTCACTAAACACTGCTGCTCTGCGGGTCTGTGTTGCCTTTTACTGTCTCCCCTTTTCATTATTGACAGAGGGAAACCGCTCTCTGCGTTGTCATGCAGCGTCATTGAACATTTCCATTGAAGTTGGCTTAAGATCTATCTGGCACCCCCCAATACCCAAATGAATGAATGATGTAAACGCCCTCTAGGCTGGACAAGATTTACTGCGTGCCTTCTAAATGTTAGCGTTTGTAACAAGTGGATGCGCTAAACAGGTGGTTCAGGTCCAGCGTTGGCACGTTGAGCCGCGAGAGCGCGCGCTCGTTGGTGCGGCACAGCGCAAGAGATACCGCAGTGCTGAGAGGCGGCGATGTGCGCCTCTGCATCCACCGCCTCGGGAAAGAGTAGCCCTCTTGTGGAGTGTGATGTCGACATGAGCATGCGGGGATGTGCAGCAACACGGCCGTAAGCTCTGTCTGCAGACAGGGGGAGGGGGGGCTGCACAAGGGAGGGGAGCCATGGCGCGAGGACGTGTGCGTAAAGAGCGTGTGCCGAGGACGCGTGGTGCCTCTTCACTACAGCCACATGATTCACGCCCAAAGTCGGCAAACGGCGTTGTCTTTGGCGAGTTTTCAAATTGTCATGTCAATGTCCACTCATAAACCCGTGGTGTATCTAATGCCAGCTCTTGCGCTTTACTGAACGTGTTAAAGTTATTGGATGACCATAATTGACATTCCGTTGTGCACGATGGTTCTGAAATGTCAGTGCCGCACGCATAGAGAGATTTATTAGTATTCTCAGTAGTCTGGTCGTGGAGAGCCTTGTAGGCTGTGCGTCTGGCCCTATGGTGGCAGCAGCGTAATTCATTAGTTTGACATATCACTGTGATTGAATGGTTTGATCTTAGAAGTACATCTACAGGGCTCTACTGCTATGACAACCCGCACGATCCATCACTTTCCTTGGGTTCACCTAGAGGCATGCAGCCCCTTTGCTGAGAGTGGATTTTTATTTAAATGACCTGTGTTATGACAGAACTTACAGGGATGGATAATGCACTTTAGAAGTGTAGCGGAAAGTTGGTCATAAAATTGTCTGGATCACCTTGGTGTCATTCTCATATCATCATGATCATTTCAGGCATATCTTTTATTTCATTTGTTGAATTCAACTTTTTTTTAACGATTGTATCAGGCAGGGAAAACAAATTAGGATTAAGTATTTGTTCCAAATTTGTTGGTGTTTGCTCCTTGATGCATTAATTTAATTATTTGTTCTTACATGACAATTTAATGTCAAAATGTCATCTTTTGAAACAGTAATTATACCAAGAAAATGTGAATGTGTGCGATACGGATCTCCCCATACTGATTTCCCCATCCCCCAAATAATCCATTGATTCCAAATGTGTACTTTTAAATCAACTACAACTTTAAAACCTATAACCTAAATCATAATTCTATGGCAAACAAATAATGTTCAATTAAATCCGTTTAATGGCTTAACTGATTTCACAATTAATTATTAATCTATTTTGTTCACTTCAAAGCCATCCAACTGTAACTTAACAAACTATATTGAGTCTTTTATCTCACCTGCACCTGTGCACCAATGAATTGTAGTTATACTGTCTGTCTGCAAGAGCCAGATGTTGTGTGTGCACCTCCAAATCCGAGGCCATGGTGCTCGACCGGAAAAAGGTGCCTTGCCCTCTACAGGTGGGTGGAGAGGTCCTTCCTCAAGTGGAGGAGTTCAAGTATCTCCGGGTCTTGTTCACGAGTGAGGGGAGGATGGAGCGTGAGATTGACAGGCGGATCGGTGCAGCGTGCGCAGTGATGCGGTCTCTGTATCGGACCGTCGTGGTAAAGAGGGAGCTGAGCCGAAAGGCAAAGCTCTCGATTTACCGGTCAATCTTCGTTCCCTTCCTCACCTATGGTCATGAGCTGTGGGTAATGACCGAAAGAACGAGATCGCGGATGGAAGCGGTCGAAATGAGCTTCCTCCGCAGAGGGGCTGGGCGCTCCCTTAGAGATGGGGTGAGGAGCTCGGTCACACGGGAGGAGCTAGGAGTAGAGCCGCTGCTTCTCCACGTCGAGAGGAACCAGTTGAGGTGGCTCGGGCATCTGTTCCGGATGCCTCCTGGACGCCTTCCTGGGGAGGTGTTCCGGGCACGTCCCACCGGGAGGAGGCCCTGGGGAAGACCCAGGACACGCTGGAGGGACTATGTCTCCCAGCTGGCCTGGGAATGCCGGGTCCCCCCGGACGAGCTGGAGGAAGTGTGTGTGGATAGGGAAGTCTGGGCGTCTCTGCTTAGACTGCTGCCCACGTGACCCGGCAACGGATAAAGCGGAAGAAAATGGATGGATGGATGGATGCCTGTCTGCATCAGTTGAAACACACAACCAGAGGCATTTTTAACACTTGTGGCACGTTCACACTTTTTGTTGGTCTGCTCACTTTGGACAATTCTGCTTCACTTGCGACAATTTTTGTTAAGATTAGATTAGATTTTATTTACATTTGAATTGGCAGGAAAGGACATTACACGCTAGTTCTGAAACGTGTCAATTATACATTCAAAGATAATCTGTGCCTATAATACCACAAAACACCAGAACGAGTTGAAGTGAATCAGACTAACAAGTATGAATAACACAAAACGATTGCAAACCACAACCACTGATGAGCATTACCAACTCCTGACGCTGTAGATGAGGCAACAGTCATGACCAACACACACATGGCGACTCAAACAAAGGCTGGACTGTAGAACAACCAGATCCTTAAACTCAAATTTTTACTGCAGAGAACGTCAGATATGTGCCTTGTCTTGCTGCTTCTCACGTGAGCTCTGATCTTAATCTACGCTGTCCTGTCTCTGCCCAAAAAAGTTTACAATGCAGTCCAATGATACACACAGTTAAAACAGTGGTATAGGTTCAGACCAAGCAACCACTCTGCAATCTTTAAGTTTATGTTTATTGATGTCGAAGGCGCCTGGACAAACATGCATGTGGTTTCCGGAGCAATGATGCGCAGTCCACAGCAGCTTTTTTATTTTTTTGTCTTTTGTCTTCTCGCTCAGGTTTACTGTGTTACAGATCAATAGCTCATTTCCCACTTGCCACATGTTCTCTGAATCATAATGAAAGCAGTCATCCCCAAACAGCAGCCTTCAGTTCTTTCTCACAGCATAGATTCCCCACCAGAAAAGTTAACCTGAACATAAGTGAAGGTAATTTTCTCCTATTTGCGGTGATGTAAAATGAAAGCAAATCAAATCAGATGTAGTATACCTGCTGCCACTGAAGCCAATATGATAGATTAGACAGAAAACAATGTTAAAATAGGAAAACATTTAGCTTAGTTTTGAAAATGTGTGAAGTTTATATTTCTTTTGGATTGGGTATGGGCATAAAGGAGTGTACTAACTGAGTCCTGACGTTACCCATAGTGTTTGCCTAATTACAGAAGAAGGGGATTAGAGCTAACTCGAACAGAATCTTGAGACACATTTATGCTAATTTATGGATATGAACGGCCGAGCTCCCAAGAGCCAATCAGGAACAGTGCCAGTCTGTCCTCACTCAACCTGCAGAAGACAGAGGACAGAAGACACATGATGGGTCCGTTGTTAGGGAACATATGTCAAGGATAAACAAGGAAGGACCCAAAAAATAATATAATTTAATAAATGTAACAAAAAAAAAAAAATCCAAAAGCACAATCCATAAACATGACGAAACATGGCAAAAAACCCAATAATGGACTGACAACAAGAGGACAGGAGAACAGGGTCTAAACACACACAGGTAGACACAGGTGTAGCACATCAGGGCGGGGCAAACAATCGAAAACACAGACAGGAAGTACCACTCACAACAAGAAAACACAAATATATCAAAATAAAACCAGATAAATTCACAGGAAGTCCTCATCATGACAACATATCAGAATATACACACAATAAACACCAGTACTACAGGGAGCGCTAATCCATAGAGCGCTAAGCCAACTTTGCTTTTCAATATTTGTGCATCGTCTCACTTCTGTCATTTGCACATTAGGACCTCTGAGCGGTTGGCCTTCGCACTTCTCACTTTGCTGCAAGAACGGTACTACTATAATTCTGGATTTATTGTATTGTCCCCATAGGAGAATGCGTCCTCTGTATTTGGTTTGCCTCAGCAACCTTTGTTTTTGCATACGTTAGATAAGGAAGGAAAGGAAGGACTTTTTTATATAGCACATTGTGTACATACATGCAACTCAATATGCTTAAGTGAGACAAATCAACAAAACAAGACATTCAACTAAGTGAGCCTTAGTTTACTCTTGAATGAGTATCCATTTGATGTCCTAAAGCAGAACATTCCATTTACAAGGAGCGTAATGGGAAAAAGCAGCCTGTGTGGAGATACTGGGTGACGTGCACATAAAATCCCAAAGGAAACCCAGAAACATGCTGGCTAGAAGTGTATCATGTAGAAAAATATTTGAGTAATAGAACATACTGAAATACTGAGATGAGTACAAATTAAACTCACCACTGAAAGATTTTTTTTTCTTCCAAATCGGTCCAGCTTTTCCGAGAGAACATTTCTTATTGACCATATATGGGCTGCATGAGAAACAGTCCAGTCCCAGCAGGCCCACTGCACATCCACATGTCACGAGTAATCCTTCTTTAATCTCAATGTGGCGGCTAAAGTCAGAGAGTGGGGAGAAATCCACAAAGAATGGAATATGAATTAGCAAACAGGACACAGACGGAGGAGGCTTCAACCTTGATATTTAGAAAAAGACTCTGAGACTAAGATTTTACATGCATTGAAAAACAGAAAGGTTAGAAAGAATGAGAAAGGGTTGAAATGTATCACACACAAACGTGAATTTACGCTGAACACAATTGAGGTATATCCAACTTACTTTTGTCAGAGGAAGTTGTAATAATAGCAGGCCTTGAATGGTAACTATCGAATGAGTAGGGCCCAGTTCCAATACTCGCACTTACACCCTCGCGCCCCTCATTTGCGCTTTCCCGATGATGGGTGTGAGTGCGTGCGGTGTCCCAATTCTTGAGGGAGGTCTTTGGCCCCGCCCCCTTTGCGCCCCTGATCCACACTTCGCCGTAGCCTGCATCTATGCGGACTTTGGCGAAGGATATTGCACATAATTCTTTGCGGTACACACCAAAACGTTGGGAAAATGCATTTAAATGTAAGTTTTGAGCTCCTGTGGACTCACCACCTGCAGGAGGATCAGTGAGGGGCTGGTGCTTTGTGTACTGGGTGCAGCTCTGACTGCCACCCCCCGACCCAGAAATGGATTAAGGGGAAGAAAATGGATGGATGGATGGATGTAAGTTTTGAAATATATATGC